CCCCAAAACCCCAAAACCCCGTAATCTAAGAAAATCAATGATCATAATAAATATCTAAATTAATTAAGGCTTGGCGAAATCCCAATAAGTTATTCAATAGCCTTCAACTTCAAAATTTTCTTTTCTTGAATTGACTTCATCTCTGACTGCGAAAAATGCTTTATCAAAGCCATTATTTTCCTTTTAATAGCCAGATAAGTATGTATAAAGAAATTATAGATCATTGTCATTATATAAATGCACCTAGGCTGGAATATCATTTGCAACTAGCGATATTGTTTCAAGCTTTGCCTGCATTTTCTCATAACTTTATAGCAGCATTAGCACATCAGCACTGCCTATCAATTAGCCTGAACGCTTAATTTCATTCAAAAGTTTAATGGACTGGGTAGCTAGTGCTTAGAGAAGCTTTGAATGACCCTTAAGTTTGTCTAGTCCACTGTAGAGATTCAGAAGTTGAAAGATTGATGAAGGTCCTAGTGAGTCCATATTACTCATAAGGATTTTTTCTAGATCTACTACTATTGGCAGTTATCTCTAAGTTTAGACTTTTTTAAATGAGATTAATCCATTTACAAGTCCACTTTCTTATAGTTTATCTAAATGCTGTTCAGCATAAGCTGCAATATTCTCGTAGAATGTAGTTTATTCAATAGCCATTTCGAAGTACAATCTAGCAATGCTCATTATCTAATTTAAGTCTAGTTGATCTAAGGATCTCAAAACATGTGGTTACAGTTTAATGAAAATTTTATTCCTTGCTTTGCCTGAATCATAAAATGCTCTCAGAATAGGGAAAAGGTTTTCAGCTTCTATACTATTCATGTGATTGCCAATATACTTATCCATGGCAGCGTAGAATTCAGCAGAGCCAGCCTTGGCATCTGAAATTACCTTAACCAAGTAAGCTATATCGAATGAAGTCAGAGTTTAAGTTCTAGTTAGTATCTCTTTTTCTAAAGCTCTCTCTAGATCTGGCATTTGCTTTATTAACTCAGTAGAGCAATAAGCCCCAATGACACTTAGAATTTAATCTTTTTGCAAAAAATTGAGATTCTTTGTGATGAAATCCTCACCTTTCATAAGGAATAAATCAAGTGATATCGGATCTACATCATCTACAGTCAAGTTATGATTTTAAATTATTCCTGTTATTCCAGTAAACTCATCAAGACTTAGTTCATCTACTCTATCCCCAATCACTCTATCTAAACAAGAAAAGAATTCTTCATTCTCTTAAATATTAAGAACTTTTATTCCTACTCTAAATATTTTCATTAAATCATCTGTGGTCTTTGAATCAAAGTCAGCTATCAAATTAAGAAGATAATTCTTGAATCCGTTTTGAAGTTCTATCAATTAGTTCTCAGCAAGTAATTCATAGTTTTAATCCTTTTTTAATTAAGCCAAAACAAAATTGATCGAAACAACACCATCAAAGGTTAAAGCATCCAATTTTTAAAGTTTTTAAACTGCATTATAAATCTTGGCCCATAGTCCCTCATCATCATAATTCATAGCATAGGAGAACTAAATTACTTATCCAAGTTATTAATCTAATCTCTAAGCTTTCAAATCATCAACAGATAAGTGATCTTAAATTGCTTAATCTAATTCTAAGTTTAACTCTACTAATCTTTCTTATATCTTCTCTTGTAAATTTGCAAAGAACTCGAGATTTTTCTACACAAAATCTTCACTTACTGCATAATCCTGTTATACTGTAAACTTTAATACACTCTCAACAATAGTAAATGGATCTTAAGTAGTCATATCAAATGACTTCATGAGTAAGTAAAGTTCTCTGTCAGAAGGAGTCGCGAACTTTTACAATTCAAGCTCTTGAACATCTGTTTTTGTTTTTTAGATAGCCTGTTTGCTTGCTCTTGAAAACTAGAATTTAGTTGAAGTCAAGATGCTTATCATGGAATGACTTTGTATCAGAAATTACTTATTTAAATGCAAAAGATTTAGGTGGTGTTTAGTGAAAGTATTAGAAGCTTTTGTAGTTAGAGTAAGCATGCTAAAAAATCTTTTGGCTATTTTGCTTGATATCATTTTGAGAAAATTATAAATAATGTAAAAATCAATTTATAATATTAATATTAATGGCTGATAATTTTACATGTCAGATAATCTAGTGGGGTTTTGGGGTTTTGGGGTTTTGGGG